GTGGAACACATGTGACACGCTCCAAGGCATTGGAGTGACACAGTTTTGCTGTCTTTTCCCCGCGTGGATAGCATTCAAATACGAAAATGACGTTTTTTTTTTGGAAAACCCACCTGCGAGTTTAGGCCTGTGTACCAGGTGAACGAGTAACCCCACGTCAACGCCGTTCGTGGATTCGGACGCGCGAATGCTTTATTAACAAGTCCCCAAAAATTCGGATATTTTGAATCACGCTTTCATTGTCAAATCGGAGTAGATTTGAAAGAGTATTAAGTGGGCCGGACGGAGTCGGCATTCAGGAGCGCCTGGAGTTACGCAACCAACCATTCCTCGTACCTCGCTACGGATTCTCTCACGTCCCTCGACTGAAGCGTTTCTCACACGGTCGCGTCGCGCAAACGGTATTTTCTTGTGTTCAATTGAGTGTGTTAGAAGAACGCCCTTTCAAAGCGGACGGCTTAATTCTTGCTATTTAATTGAATGGAAGAGTTCGGTGCGTAAGCATCAACTTTTTCGGGTGTCGGTGAAGAGCCTTCCGCAGATATCGCAAAAAAATAACAGCTTCGGCATCAAATACGCTCTTACCCGGGTTGATGCATAGTCCGGCTTGGTCCAGTCTCTTCAATACGGTCCTTAGATAATCGACGTGCTCCTCCGGCGATGAAGACGCCACCAGAATGTCGTCCAGGTAAGCATAGACGAAGTCTAATCCGCTTAACACCCTATGTATGTACCTCTGAAAGGTCTGAGCAGTGTTTCATAGACCAAATGGGCTCTTTAGAAACTCAAAAAGCTCAAACGGCGTCGTAATTGCTGTTTTCCAGATACCTTCCTCGGCTACCGGAATCTGGTGGTAGGCCCTGATCAGGTCGATTATAGAGAAAAAACTCTTCCCTTGCAACATGAATGAATAGTCATGCACATGCGCACATGCGTTTGTGCATTTAGATTGCGATAATCCCCGCAGTCGCCAATCGCCATTTTTCTTTTTTACTAAATGCAGTGGACTCGCCCAGGGGCTGCTAGAAGGGCATATTATTCCCTGGTCCAGCATGACCTGGAATTCAGTCCTTGCAATCTTCAACCGGTCTGCCGGTAAACGTCTGGGCCTCTCCACTACCGGTGGCTCTGATACATCCGGCCCTGCCGGTGTCCCTTTTCATCGACCTCGCATTGCGAATAGTTAAGATCAGATACTTTTAGGAATGCGCTTGACATGCGATTCGGAAACCGTTTCTCGGGAACCGAATCGTGCGATCTGCGAATCAGCGAAATAGGCGTCAGCGCTCAACGCCAGCACATCCGCTGAACTTGGGACCTCTCCCGATTTCAACGGATGCCGAAGCGAAGGTTCTCGAACGCGGCTCGTGCCATGCGAGGATCAGCTAATATATAAACCCGTGGACACGCCACACGGCGCTCTTTTTTTATTCCGCTGTCAGTACGTTCTCTTCGTGGTGATTACCGAAATCTTGTAGTCGCGGACAGGTTAACTTCACGCGTTGTCGTTACCTACGAAAGTCCGACGTAAAATCGGTTAAGATCACATCGAACCTTTATCGTCAATCGAACACGCACTCAGCGTCGCACTTTGGTTGTCAAATACTAAATTATTGTAGTCACGGATAGAGTAATCGTACGCGCGCCGCGTCGTTACCGAGGAAAGTCCGTTGTTAATTAGTAGAGACCCGTGTCGCGAGTGATAGTTGCCGACAAACAGATCCTTGCAACAGCACAGCCCACAACAGATAGCTGGTACAACCAAACTGTAAGACCGACAAGCGGTAACGTACCTACATAATTGTATACTTGATTTCCCAAAACCGATATTGTAATATAAACTCGTTATTTTGTAACAATACATATTTATATGCTAAACCTTGAAAACAATCATTGCAATCCCGAATTGCTCTTTTCCGTTAGAGAATACAGTTAAGGTGAGCTTTAGCTCTTTAATTGAAGACGAAGATCCCAAGAAAGAGTCACAGATAAGGTGGGACGTAACAGCCCAACAGTAATTATATGGTGACGGACAGGATGTTTCACCGTACAGAACTGTGCTTTTCCTAGAACGCGCGGGAACTCGTTAAGTAACGACAAGTATTTACTTCCCTGATTCACTACGGAAACGCCGGTAAATGTTGCCACTCTGTACTCAGCAGGTGCTTTGAGCCCAGAGATTTTGTCGTAGATGTTCCTATTCCTGATGTTTATGCTGAGGTTATGTTCTGCCAGAATATCCACTCCGATGATAGCATATGGAACATCGGCCACATGGAAGTGTCCTCGAATGGGTCTTCGTAGACCAAGATTGAGAACTAGGTTACGTCTTCCATAAGTTTGGATTTTGCCTCCATTTGCAGCAAACAGGACCAATTTTGATGGATACTTCCTGTCCAGATAACTTGCAGGCAGAACTGACACCTCTGCGCCAGTGTCAATCAAAAAACGAGTACCTGTATTCTTATCCACAATGAAAAGACAGCAGAATTCGGTGGTACCATCCAAACTTGCCGTCACGTTGGATGATACTTCTGGTTACTCTTCCACGCACAGGGAGTGATGCACTTGGCTGCCCTAGACTTAAACCGAGCATAATAAAAGCACATTCCGCTAGCTCTGGCATTTCTTTCCATGCCACGATCGTTGGATTTTTTCCGCTTTCCAATGGTAGACTCTCCTCTTATAGGCGAACGTCCTCTGAACCTTAATTGCTGGTGCATTAAACGGGTCAGCTCACTAACCTGTCTTGCTAACTCATCCACTCGGTCACCCTGATCACTGCTTGCAGTCTGATGCCTGTCAACTGCTGCGATGGCCTGTCCAGTGATGTGATGACGAATCGTTACTATGCTATCAGCTAGCTTGCCCAAATGCTCATTATCCAACGCACCTGCAGCTGCCAATGCCAGCTGCATCTCCCTGGGTAACCGGTCCAACCATAGCGTTCTCACATATTCAGGGTCTAACTTATCACCAGCTAGCGCAGACATTTCCACTAGCAGTGTTGATGGCTTTTTGCTGCCTAATTCCAAGCCCGACGTCAACCTCCAAAACTTATCTTCCTGTGACACTGCGCAATGCCCCAAAAGCACTAATTTGATTTTGTCAAACTTGCCAGTAGCTGGAGTGTTTTTTATTACGCTCTCTACCACAGCAAGCGTATCTTTAGTCAGGCGGCTGATTAACGTATAATAACGCGAACAGTCCAATGTTATGTTACACGAATGGAGTTGGGCTTCCAGCGAAATAAACCATAAGTTTGGCCTATCTGGCCAAAAATCAGGGATATCTCCCCTTGCGATCGCGTTCACTTATGTGTCGTTATTCTCTTCCATTGCTTAAAACTTTTTTTCCGACCACGTGTTACAACGCGTAAAAAAAAAATGGCGTGGGGACGAAATAAAACTATCGCGTGAATGCCGGGGTCACCAATTGTAGGTATTTATGTGCCAAATCTAACTTACAGGACTTATTAAGAAATAACAACACGGTTTAATTAACAAAGTTTTAATAACAGAACAAGAATAGAAATAACAATTTAGGGACTTCACGATTCGCGGTAGATGTGTACGCTTACTTAGTCCGGAACAGTCCGGGAAGAAGTGCTAACAAAACAATTACGCTTCCTTCTCCTTAAAACTGCGGGAACATCTAGGTATCAAAATCCCTAGATGTTCCTCAGTTAGCGAAGGTGTGAGGGTTGGTCGCCTTGGCCTAACCCCACAATCGTCCTCAGTAAGCGCCATCTCCTATCGACTGTGTGAACTAAATTTGTGACGTAACTTGCTCTGCATTATCGTCAAAATGGCGAAACTCGACTTTGGGAATGTTTTCACGATTTTTCGCTTTTTGTTCTTATATTAGCATATTTTGGGTTGAATGAGGGCTCATTCGAAAGATGAAGGCCCAACGAAGGGTGCTCTGGTCATGATAGAACGATAATGTGTTGATATTTAATAATATGAGCGTCCAAAGTTGAACAAAAGTCGAGCAAAACACATCCGTAGAATGGAAGTATTTTTAGGTTACTAAATGGATTTTGTGACTCAAACGATGACTAGAGCACCCTTCGTTGGACCTGCCTCTTTCGAATGAGCCCTCATTCAACCCAAAATATGCTAATATAAGAACAAAAAGCGAAAAATCGTGAAAACATTCCCAAAGACGAGTTCCGCCATTTTGACGATAATGCAGAGCAAGTTACGCCACAAATTTAGTTCAGACAATCGATAGGAGATGGCGCTTACTGAGGACGACTGCTAACGTGATGTCGATACAATTGCGATGTTGCCGTTCTCACAATAGCGTCTCTCTACACTGTTGCCATTTCACTGAAGTCGAAATCGTGCTTAGCATCCCGATCCCGTATCCTTACATTTGCCAGCGTCGACTCTCAGTCTCTCTTCCTTCTTCATCGAACTGTTTCTTTCTACTTTCGTCGTCGCTTCGAAACTTTAGTTTTGCGCTGGACGCTGTTCGATCCCGGTAGGAGTCACTTATTTTTTTTTTTTTTTTACTTTTTCTTCCATTTGTATCATGTTTTGTTATGGAAACTACCTTTTTATATATTAATATTATTTTTATACAATATTGTGCAATTTTTATGTTTTTTATCGCTTTGAAAAATAAATCAGGATGTGAAAGGAGTTTCTACAAGCTTTTATAAAAACTTACGTCAATTTAATTATATTAAACAAACATAGCACAATTTCTTTCTTCTTTCTTTTTTTCCTTTGCTTTCTTTCTTCTTTTCTTTTTTTTTCTTCCTACTTTTTTCTTACTTCTTTTTTAATGCGATAAAAAGCATAAAAATTTCAGAATATTGTATAAAAATAATCTTAATATATAAAAACGTAGTTTCCATAACAAAACATGTTACAAACGGAAGAAGAAGTAAACAAAAAAATAAGCGACTCCTACCGGGATTGAACCGCTTCCAGCGCAAAAGATTGCCTTCGCAACATGGCACTCTATCGACTGTGCAACGCTGCTTCTATAATACCTCAGACTCTTATATGGTTGGCACTCGTCAATCGAAATTTAGTTATTTTTAAAAATTTATTTCTCGAAAACGAAAGAGAGTCGCGCCTTCTCACTGGCAGAGATTGTCCTACATACCCTTCTTTACATATGAAAAAAATTTGATTAAATAATTCGGGGGACACTAGGCGATGTCTCCTTGTAAACTATGTAAACGTGGGACCTGACTTAAAAAATTAACTTTTTTTACGAAAAATGATAGTATTTTGTTTGTAGTTTCATCAATTGATAAATGAAAAAAAATTGTAACAACCTAATACTAAAATTGAAACGAAACACTCATTTTCCGTAAAAAGAAGTTAATTTTTTGGCAGTTGGCTCTCAGGTTTACATACCCTAGTAGCACAAAATATTGAATACATATTCATCCAATAAAAGAGATTGAATTTCATTTTAATATTTAAATATACATATGATATTTATTCTAGATTTAGAACAAAATATTTTTTCACGAATATAAAATAGATATTTATTTAATATTCGCAACAATATATTTTTTCCCGAATATAAAATATATATTCATCTGATATTCAAATTCCTACCGAGGTAAAAAAAATTAAAATAACTTGTTTTAATTGAATCTAATCACAAGAAACAAAGTAATAAAAGTAAAATCTATGAATAAATGAAACACAATATAAAATTGATTTAATTTTTTTTTTTGAATCTCTTAATTTTCAAGATTTATTCAACATTGCCCGAATATTCAATACGCATCTTCTAAACATAAATACAGGATATGTAGGTATCAGTTTTTATAATCAATTAGTATCAACTCAAAAAGTAATTTGTATTAAACTTCTTTATTTTTATAAATGAAATCAGGGTGTACAGGGTGTATAAAAATTATTGGTTATTCAAAATTCATTGACCTCGAAATTTAAGGTCAGTTTTTTTTTAATTTTAAAAAATTCTACTCGAGGAGTAGGTAAAAAGCTTCAAAGGAGCCACATGCCGAAGACGAACCGTTGTCGCGTAAAAAATTGTTAAAGTTTTCCAAATTCTGGATAGCGCGGAGCAACTCACGAGGCGCCGCAGCGGCGCCGAGGGTCCCCCAACCTAGCTCCTACTCGTATATGCACGAGCGATGGTGAAATGGGACCGCACTACACTAACGTAATACGTAGCGCAAAACAGAATACTACTACTTCCTACGTTGAGCATTCAGAATCACTCAAGGAAGAAGTATACAGTATATGTTGTTGAGAAGAAACTATACTGTATGGCAATAACGAGCAGCTCCATCTAGTTTTCCTCCGCTGCCGCGTATTTAATGGTAATACCATTTCTATGCGGAGAGTAGCTGCTGTAATACCGACCTGCCGAATCGGAGAGGTCACGTGCCGTGTCTACCCCCTTAATCGTATTACAAAGACTAGTCGTTAGAATCATCATGCATATGTGACTGGTTGCGTTGAGAAAAGGATGATTTTGTTTGGTGGTCCTTGAACTTTAGATGTAATAACCCAAAAAAGCTTTAATCTACTGAACTACACTCGTGTTAATGTGACATCGGTAGAGCCATGCGCTTGGAGCTTCGTTTTTAGAATACGTCGATGCTTAGGACTCCCGTTGGTTAATTTGTGCATTTGTGTATTGAAATTTGGTTCCACAAAAATAGTAAATGCTACTCTATGGTTATTTGCTGCTTACATCCACTCCATATTTAAGTTGAATGAACAGTGTAGTTCGTTTTACTGGTTTAAATAAAACATACAAACTGAAACTTTTGAAAGTATCCGACAATTGGTTTTATTCTGGCGCAAATTTCATCAATCGAAGAACGCAAATTAAATACGAGATTTAATTACATGAGCTTCATAAATATACGTATGCATATGTGTATATCATATAAGATCGACGGTTAAAAGTAACGTGTAGCCAGACAACATGTTCTAACATAATGGACTTGTCATACAAATGGTTTCTTATTTGCGAATTTTTGCAGCAGTATTGCATATTAATTCTGTCACTCCTAATCTCGTGTCATCCACCCAATTTCATTTATTGACGTCATTTACGGTTAGTATCGCTAGAAAAAAAACAAGTACAACAAATTAGATGATCCCATACGTTCAAACACGGGACTAGAAATATTTTCAATTTCATTTATTGACAGACATATGAAGCAACCGACTATTCATCGTTCGCATATAAAATATATTCTCTAATACTAGTGAGATTAGCGTATTATATATATCGGCGATTCAAACAATTTTCCTTTTGCGATTCTCGTCGATTCCCCTTCTTTCTGGAAATGAAAAGAAGGAAATTCAGGAAATATTAAGAAGTACATCTGTGCGTACGAAAATTACAAAAAATGTTTAGCGTTAACAGAATTAATAGCCATGTCTGCGGTGCAAAAGTTTATCTTATTCCATTTGGTCGCGCTCAAACGAATATTATACAAAGCGAAGAGAATCGGCACGAGTTTGTCCGTGCAATAATAATAATAATAATAATAATAATAACAATAATAATAATAATAATAATAATAATAATAATAATAATAATAATAGTAGTAGTAGTAGTATTAGTAGTAGTAGTAGTAGTAGTAGTAGTAGTAGTAGTAGTAGTAGTAATAATAATAATAATAATAATAATAATAATCAGAATAATAATAGTAATATCGAAACTGTCGTCTTCGGTTAAGGGGTTAGTCGCAGTCAGGAAAATGAAAACGGACACTTTCTTGTGTGTTTTTTTTAAGGTATTAAATAATAATTTTCATGAATGAAATGTAAATATATTACAAAGTATGCCTTAAAGAACTATAAAAGAATTTTTGTTTTAAAAAAAGGTTAATTCATTTCGTCATAACAGACGATGGCATGGGTGGCCACTTGATTTGCGGTGAGCAAGATTTCTTGAAACTGGTGCACCTAAAAACAAAACTAAAGGTAAATTTAGAAAATATATTAAACTAATGGGTCCCTGATCGAAGGATTTTTCATTTTCTTGTATACTTTTCTTTTTATTCTGTATTTAATCACTTAATTTTATAATGAAAATTGAACTTCAATTTCAAATGTACGTCACTTTGTTTTAAATTAATTTTTTCCAAAATCCTTCGATCAGGGACCCGTTAGTCTAATATATTCTCCAAATCTACCTTTATTTTTGTTTTCAGGTATACCAGTTTGGAGAAATCTTGCTCACCGCAAACAAAATGGCCACTCACACCATCGCCTGTTATGACGAAATGAATTAATCCTCTTTTAAAACAAAAATTTGTTTATAGTTCTTTAAGATATATTTTGTCATGTATTTAAACTTCATTAATAAAAATTATTATTTAAAGCCCTAAAAAAAACACATAAGAAAGTGTCCGTTTTCATTTTCCTGACTGCGACTAACCCCTTAACACGGTTGAAAATCGAATTCTTCGTACGTTAATCGTTATCGACACGCCACGGCTCCATAGAAGCGTATGTTTTTTTCACATCGCAGCGATTTCTTACGATAAATGTGTCCACATTTTATTTGGAAAAAGGAATACAAATTGCAGAAGTATTAGTAACAATAAGAACAAATGAATCTTTCCATCACATTAACGTGTAAGCAGTTTCAAGGTTTCAGTTGTTTTTAATTTCGCGAATAACTCTCGAATTTGTATTCTTCATTTGTAACAAAATCTTGTCAATTCTAGCCCATATGCTTTATCCAATCGAAATTGCTCAATTGTTTAAAATAATTCGAATCAACATTCGTTTCCAACGGTCGAAAATTGTGGAAACATTTCGCGCATGGTCACTGACGCGGAAATCCTCACGATGACACCTTTCGAGTTTACAATGAATTATTATGCATGATCCTTCATTTCCTTTTATCGTGTAAAAACAAACAGCGGAAGTATATGTCTATAATCGACGCAACGAACGATTTACGCATAGAAAGAATTCGCGTAGTCTGCTCATCAGTCGTCGTAAGTGGCAAAGATCTCAATAATATGTTGTAATGTAATTCTTCGTATCTACGTATCATACACGCGTTAATCAATATAATGTAAACCGTGTTATCAATAATAATGTTCGAAAACTTAACAAAAGAAGCAATTCTTTTTCTTCCCTCTCTCTCTCTCGCTCTCTTTATAAACGATTGCGACACCACGCAGAGTCCAGCGGTGCCAAGACCCGCATATATTCTCAGCACAACCAAAACGCTGCAGGCAGTGACGGTGAGCTACCTAATCCGTATTAATAGTTACATTAGGTTCTATATTTTATAATATGTATATATATGTATATATATACACGATCCGCACACACCAAGTTAAACTCTAAATCGATTTTTAAATAAAAGTCAATGACAAATGGATTGCAAAAGAACATCGACAAACGGAACGTTACAGTTCATGCTGGATAACATTACAATGGTTACGCTAAATCTGTATATTCTCCGCATACCGTCCTCTCCTCTCCCTTGCCTTCAACCGGTCACTCACACCCGAGAACCCATCGGGAATAATATCGTACAACATCGCAGCAATTTTCCGTAAACAAAACCATTTGTCATGCCCGTAATCCGAAGAGCAAATGGTGACAACGATTCACACCCGTACAATAATTCGTCGTGCGGCTTTAACGCTCTATGAAAATAGATGATACATTCTTTGACGATGACGATGATGCATTATATATCGTTAAAACGAGGAACACGATTCGTTCCTCGTTTACAACAGAGTAGCGAAACGAACGTGAGGGTAGAATCTGGTTAGCTGCGTCACGACAACGAATGGGAAACCCTTACGCAAAGTTCAATCGTCATCAGTTCTCGCGACGTCGATGAACATGGGAGACTCTCGCTATTTGCAAACTACGCTCGCTTCAATGATAGCTTTCACTTTTTACAAGATAATGAAAGACGATCCCCGAACAAATCTCGATCCGACGACGCCAAAGGCACCAAGTAAAAGAAATAGCCCTGACACTCGAACGTTCGGGTTTAATTGCTTTCTTCCCTTCGTCCGGACTTCGTCCGATACCTCTGTTTGGCACTGTTTGGCCGTCTCTTCTAATCGATACGCGTTTGAACATAGCGTTATCAATCTTGAGGAGTTTCAATCTTGAGGACATTTCATGCGTGAACGTAATTTGCACATGATATTCTCTTTCGTCTATAAAGAAAGGACACCGTCGAATTTCGTACGCAATATTTGTTTTTGACACTTCGATGATTACACTTTCAATTTTATCCGTTAAATTATTTCATTATCCCGAGTTAACGGTAGAAAAAGACGAAGGGAGATCTCTACATATTTATGTGTACTTTTATCCTTATATAGTAAAACGGAAACGACAATGGCACAGAATTTTACTAAACCTCATTATGTTAGCTTTGATTCAGCATTCGTTTTATTATTGGCAACGTGATGAATAATTTTAAATATTAACGTTAGTTTCCTACAAATTGGTTTTCCGATTATTTCAGATCACGCGCAAACAAAAATCGATAAAACTAAACCATTCCATGCGCTTAAGATTTATCTTTTATCTCTTCAATTACAATGGTTTAACCTTTTTTTTTCGTTTTACCAATTGAGTGCTGTGCACGTATACTCTGGACATACGTTCAGAGAAACCTATCAGTGTACAGGGTGTCCCAAAACTCGCGTAGTAGCTGGAAATGGGGAGTAGCTGAGACGATTCTGAGCAACAATTTCCTTTGCAAAAATGTCAGATGGGGCTTCGTTAAGGAGATATTAAGAAAAAATCCCGACCAATCAGAGCGCGCGTATACCGTTGGAGCGACCGTGGTAGCGAAGGCTACGCGCTAGGCGGCTGCGTCAATGTCCTTCGATGCACGTCGAGTCACTTGTTCGCGTACAAGCGCGGCCGCCAACGAGTAGCCTTCGCTACCACGGCCGCTCTAACGGTATACGCGCGCTCTGATTAGTCGGGGTTTTCTGTTAATATCTCCTTAACGAAGCCCCATCTGACATTTTTGCAAAGGAAATTGTTGTTCAGAATCGTCTCAGCTACCCCCCCATTTCCGGCTCCTACGCGAGTTTTGGGAAACCCTGTATAGATGTGTATATGCGGTTGTCAATCTTTTCGATCTCTTGTTTGAGATACACTTATCAGTGTTTTCCATTTTTTTCATTACGTTTATTAAATTCGTCAGTTTGCAAGTTAAAGATATATTTTACATTTTAATGTTTCTTTCGTTTCTTGGTCAAGAGTATTCAGCACTCACAGGGTTAATTGTATTATCTAGATTGTAGAGTCGTCACCTGATATGACAAGAAAGCTAAAATGTCTATACCACTTTTTCTTCGGTCTGAGTCATCTTTGAGTGCAATGTTTTAACGCATTAAGCGCTATGCTTTTTATATTTGACGTTCTTTTCATACTGACGTATAAAGAGGGACGCGCTCCAAGTGTGTAAACTATAAACATAAGATAAGAAAACAAGGAACTAGTTTACACGACTCCTATAAGACGTTAGGTTTCGAACTTTACCAAACAGTTCTGTTATGAAGAGATAGAAAATAATAATGTGTGTGTTACAATATTATGAAATAAGTTGATCTTCTAAACAAGAATCGTCTAAACAAGATCTCGACATAAATTTAAAAGAAAAAGAAGATAGTGCTCATAAGATACAGAAATGCTATGTCGATTGTTGTAATAATAAATTAAAAACATTTCGTCTAAAATAATGAAAAAAGTAACGAAAAAAGTTACAACGTTTTGCCAACTGGCGCAATATTTAACGTGTCAATCAGATTATGTACAGTTAAGACGATATAATTAGCACATTGCAATTACAGGTGACGTGGTCTGAAGAAATAGTTTAGACTAGTTTGGTTTTGTCGTTTTCTGTTCAAATGTAATCCAGAAAAATTAAAAAACTTATTAGGAAATTTATAAGAATCTAACGTTCATATGTAATCTCTCTCATTCACTCTCTCGCATTCTCCCTGTATCTCTCGCAGACTGTTTCACTGCGTTCATGCATTATTATTCCTGTTTTCTTGAAAAGTTTCGACTACTTGTTGTGTACGTCTCTTGGGTCATTGTGCGTCCATTGAAATTTGACTAGCACATGAATTTTCAACGAATAAATAAATCTTTACTTTTTCGACATTTCGATTCTACGTACGTAAGAACCCTCACGACACCAAACACGCTCGCGTTGACGTTATCAAACAAATACGATATTCGCGCGGGCCTTCGTTAATACTAAAATGCAAAAAAGAAATACTTGTTACGATTTATTCATCCCCACTGATCGTACAGAGCCGATACCAAAGCGTGTCACTTATTTTCGTTTTGAAACGTTCACAACGTATTTTTCTGTTTATCGATGGATCGCAACGTGTATAGCAACCTATCGTTGCACACGATGCAATCAGCGATATTTTTAAATCGGCATACAAGCGTACGACGCATTTTATACAATGTGTACCGAATATCCGCGTAATTGGCGTTCACGTACACTCTGCTTTATGAAGTATAATAATTTGATCCTCTCGGCAGTGATGTCGCACTGTCTTTTCAAACTACAACATAATATACGAGAGAAAGTTCTAAAAAGCTTTTCTTCATACGATGCAACTTAGTACGACTATGTAACGTATCGATAAAAGACACACACACACGTGTATCTCGAGTGAAAAATCTTATACCTTAAAGCGATTCGCGAAGAATGACTGAATATAAAAACTGTTAAAAAAAATCTTCAACATTCTTCAATCTTCTTACACTGCAACAGGTATAAATTTTTGGCAAACAAAACAATATCCGTACATTTGTACACTATCTGGTTTTGTGCAACACCACTGTCAGGAGTTCAGGTATGTCGCACATATACACACACCCTGCCGTGAAGTCGTACAGATCCGTCTACCGCGTCGAAGAAACTTCGACTTGTACGGCTTGCGTTGTCACGGATTGGACTTACTCAAAAAACTAAGCAGCATTCGTTCGTGCCTTGCGCCTAAACGGGCAAATCTCTTAAGTATCGCGATCCTAAGCGTCGCGGAATTTGATGTTAGTTAATTTTTATTATTACTACGTGGACTCGCCGGTTGACTTTTTGCTTGTTGCGCGCGTTGTATGTAGATATTTAAAAGCTTCAGTTTGCTGATGTACAAACAGCTGAGATGAGGCTTCAATACCTCCTCCCCGACTGCCAAGTGTATCGCTACCATGCAAAATACGGCGCTTTTCCGGACCGCGCTTTCGTGATCGTCGTACGCCTAATTATACAAATCAATGTTAAAATAAAAGAAAATGAAAAATATCTATTTGATTGAATAGCGTGTTCCCATCGTTTTTATCATTTGCTTCTTTTCCCAGCTATTTCTCTGCTGTTTGATCAAGTATTTATACCATTCCAAAGTGTTCATTTCGAAAACTCTTCCTTAGATTTTACTATTATCTCAAAAAACACATATACGCAGTATATTTTATAGAAATTTAATAAATAACACTGTTCAACGAACTTACATTTTTTTAAATTTTGCAATATCCATTGGATGATTCTTATAGCGTTCCTTATCCTAAATACAAATCTGAAACCCAAATTGCTCCATCACTCTCAGTTTCCGAAAAACTCGAAGATTTGTAAAATCGGTTGATTTTTAGAGAAAATGTAATACTACTTGCAAACTAAAAACGCTAGACAGTTCTATTTAATCTCAAAAGATTGAAGAGAGTGTTCTGACTATGTAGATACATTCGTTTAGACTAGAACCGTACTAGAACCGGTCTAGAAATCGTTCCAACATTTGCTATGAATGGTTTCCTCTTTAGAAATGTCTGCAGAATCTGATAATTTATAGTAAATGTGTGCCAGACGAATGACTTTACAAAGGAATACAATTGTATTTCGTGAAAAGTTCACACATCGGCATCTTTTTGAATTTCAGTGTTCATTTGCAGCCATTTAAAGAAGCAGATAATTCTAAACGAATAGATCTACATACTCAGGAAAATCTCCTCTATCTTCTAAGACTAAACTATCTACCAGTTTTACTTTGCAAATAGTATTACATTTTTCCTAAAAATCAGCCGATTTTACAAAATTTCGTGTTTATCGAAAACTGAGGGAAATGGAGCACTTTGGTTTTCAGATTCGAATTTAAGATACGGAACGCTGTAAGGATTACCCAGTGGATATTACAGAGGTTCTGGTTGAAATGTTAAGATGCTTTGGAAAAAAAGACGACGGAATGGTGTCGACAAATTACGAAAATGCAAAATTGATTAATTCGATGTTACAATTGCTGTAAAACGTTATTATTTTTTAATAAAGAAAAAACGAAGAGAACTTATTGCTCGACTCAATACGTATAACAGAAGTATTTCATGTTACCTTAATAAGACCAGGCATAACCTTCGACAGGTGAGGCTCTATCGCATCTCGACCCCAATGTTCCACTACTTTGTGCAGCATTTTTATTGCTCCCATGTTCAGAGGATACGGTTCGGTAGTAATTATAGTTGATACTAAATGAATGATTGGTTCCGGTTTCAGAACCATCGCTATCGTTGCAGCACATTTTTCTGCCATCCAAAAAATCTATTCAACACAACAACGAACCATTAATTACAACACTGAACTGTTGAGAACAGGTATTTTCATTTATTAATGTATACAATTACTGAAGTTCTCGTGTTGCCGCTGCTAGAAGTATCTTGTTTCTGGTCGTCCAATTTGTATACGGTAATTACTTTCAAAACAAGCAACTCAGGATACACGGAAAAACTGTCCACAAGGTCTGGACACTTAAGCATATCGATTAGCGTCTGAAGTACTTCCACTTGCAGTTTCTTGCTATCGTTAGTCAGACTATCTAGTAACGTTTTGAGTATTTTCCTAAAAAATGAAAATAAGAAATTAATGTTCTTATAATTGCGATTGCAACGTGTACATAAATGTAAAAGAGCCTACTTGAAATTTTGTTTCATGTACGAGGCGTCTCCTTCTCGAATGTACTGCTGAAACTCCTGTAGAGCTGATACTTTTTCTTCGGTAGACCTTGTCTTCGACCGCAATATCTTAGTTATATTGTCTAAATTTTCTGGCCTGCTTGCCAAATCAGGCGACGACCCTGCAATAAATCTTAAATAAATTAAACGGACTGTCGGGTTAATGGAATGGTAAGCAATTTCGATAACACAGAATAGTATAACGTACCGTGTGTTTTGTAACCATTATTTTCCTGAGGTAGGATTAAGTCGCCTGCAATAGTATCACTCGAACCATTCACCGTAATGTTTGTAACCGATCGTCCTCTCTGTGTAGGCGAAGAAACGGAAGACGATCGACCCTGATAGTACCAAAACGCAATACAAACTACTGTATTGTATAGATGATATTGGTCATTCTCAATTTCTTATGATGTCGAAGATTTCGTTACAAATGAAATATGATGTAATCAACGTAAGATTAAGAAAGAGGGGAATTGAGATTTTATGTAGCATTTCTTAAACAAATTAAGCAAGTTGATTTGCTGCTTTTCCTATTCCAGTGGAAATGGACTATACAAATAAATTTGTATTTCCAAAGATATTAATACGTTGCTATTTAGTTTCAAGTTACGTTTTCTTTTAGACTGAAAAGTCGGGTTCGAAATTTAAAAATTACAAATAAATTCTTATTTTGCAAAATTTGAGTTGATTGTTACTCGAACATTTCCTTCACAAGATAAGTTTGCCGCTAGGATGGGAGTATTTTAATTGACATCATAACAAGCTGTTAAATGTCGCTATACTATAAAATACATTCGCATCTTTCTTTATAATGAGCAAAACTATAGACAGAGAGTCTTGTTTTATAATAATAATTTATTAAAATTAATGTAAAGAATTACAATCGTTACAATCAATAATTATAGTTTATCGAAACATTCGTTGCAATACAAATTATACTTACTGCCAGTCAAAACTGACAATAGGTAGGTTCTAAAAGACCAATAATAGATGAACGTAATCATTGAACGAGTATGCGACTTAAAGTACTCGACTAATTTACCTGACCAATGCTGCACCATTGAAGTGAAAAACATTTCTGTAAGACTACCCAAAAGCAATGAAATTAATTCGTAACTATCTTATGTTAAGATATTCTAAAATAGCATTTGCTGCAATGGATTATTATCCAAATATACTGATTCGTTATGTAATACGTAGCTGTATTTACATTTGTTATTTCTCTCACTTTTGACATAAGATAACAATGTGCGAATAGATACGACTGTTTAATAATTGGAAAAATTGAAATAAATTGTAAGTAGATTACGAATTTTATGTATTTGTTATGTATGCTAATATGGAAAACGTACATAAAATGTAAGCAGAATATATTTCATAAATTAATATAACAATACAATAGAAGCTTGATTAATGGTCAAAATTACGGTTGAAATTCATGTAATAAATGAAGCAATCCAATGAGCTATAGTCGCACTACTTATGGCTTATAAATAGTGTTTCCAACTTTGGTCGTTGCTCAGTCACCATCTCCTCTTGTTGGTGCCACAATTCAACGAGGCTTTCGGGCAATAAATATGATTTTTCTGTATTATAATTTCATTTTGCATAAGTACATATATTCTGCATGCGTTTAGCATGTTTTCAACTCGCATACGGTATAAATACATAAAATACATAGTCTAGTTAAAAGCAATATCGAAGGGCGAGGACCAATCTATGGCTACCCTCATTCTAAGATTAAAATACCGTCAAAACTCTCTCCATAAAACGAGCAACAGAATATATTAAATTCACATTAAAACATCTTATTATACGTAACTAAAAATTCCGAGTACATTCATTATATTAATATAGATGTTGGTAAAACTGTAAGGTAATAGTAATATTATTGAAATTCCTATGAGACATGCCAGAGTTGTTTGTAGACTTCTTATAAATAATATAACGTGAAAGCAGTACGATCGAGCGCGCATGAAACACCCATTCTTTTATAGAGGATGCTTTAGCAAAATGCGTTCATTTTCTCAGATTTTAACAAGCAGCAGTTAACTCGAAAAATGCAAAATAAGAATGTGTGTATAATCTACATATTGGAAATACGACTTTTTAGGCTAAAAGAAAATTTCGTCTGAATCCTTCGGGATGAAAATAAAAACAATAACTTAGTAAATTACCTATAAAAGTAGGAAAAAATCATAAAATCTCTACACTTTTTAAACAAATTTTCTACCAGTAAAATAATGACGAACCTTGCCTGATTATATGTAGAATACATCATATTTCAATTTCCACTTCATGTCAATCTCAAAGGTTATCAATTTTGCGCGGAATGACCCTATCTACCAATAACTAATCCGACGAAAAGATGTACTCTGGTGACTACTCCAAATAGATACAAATTGAATGCAAGTTGTGCAAGTTACTATTTATGTACAGTGACTTACACATTCGTTCGCCCATATCTATGACATTACTGTCTAATTCATTGTCATTACTATAAAATTAATTTGTAAATATTTAATATTAAAATGTCAGGAACACATAGTATTGGTAATAAAACGAAAATGTAAACTGCTTCTAAATTAACGGTAGTTAAAGTGTCAAGTGCCAGCCAGCGCGATTCCGCTCGCAGTATCGAAAGTAGATTTGATAGGCGGTTGTACTAAACTAGAGTTTGTGCTACCATAAACGTATAAGTATTGTGCCATTTTTCGACCAGACTTTTGGAAAGTCGAACAGTTATTACTGAATCATGTAATTCACATATATTTACACATTCGCCGATAATATATATGAATTTTATACGTAGCATCTAATGTATTCTGAAAAAATAAAAATGTTAATTGATTTATATTTTAATCGCTTGTATTCGCATAAATTTTGTAACTCTAGTTGTAAGACAAAGAATGTCGCCATGGTCCTAGATAAAAAATATATTGGATATATGTGAACGAATTTGTGAATCACTGTACAATAATTACATACAATTCTTATGGATAAGTAAATAAAAGAAACTATACAAAGATTTCAATGTCTCGATTCTTTTGATCGATACTGAGGCTTCTTCGTAGGAAAAGAGTGTAAGCTGTGTCCTTTGGATACGATACTTCAACGTTTCATAAGCAATACAGCTTTCTTTTGTTTTCTTGTGGGCCTCTATAGTCCTCAACAGAGACATAGCAGACCGCTAAGGTTCCATTGAGAATCATGTTTTTATTATCAGAGTTCATCGTCTAGCCGAATTAAAAATATATTATCTATTTTTTTACCGAATTACACAACGTGAGACCTTCCATTTTTTCTTCCACGTCAGCCATATTACTGATCCCACTGTCTTTACTGGTGGTTGCTCTTTCTAAACGCTCGAAACCATAATTTTGAATTTCTGCCGTCGTGCGTCTCAACGATCTGTAGAAAGGACTTCAAAATTAAAACGACAAAGAATGATGAGGTATCGGTCCCTCGGTTCAGAGATACGGAAATAACTTACTTGTAAACCTCCTCCAAGTTCTCATCGGCATTATCGACGTCGCCTTTAGGTTTCGAGCGTGCCGGTGAACTTTGTGCTCTGGGAGGTGGTGTACCAGGTGACGCTGGATTACTCGAACCCGAGGATTTTCTCAGATGATTCTGAACTAACGGAAATGCTGCCTCCTGCGATGTCCAAATACATTAGAAAAAAAAGTAAGAGTTATTCTCCGTTTCGTCGTAAACTATTGAAGAAATAGTTGATAACGGTAAACTTTACTTGATAATGCTTGGGTAATTCACCCAGTATCATGGTCACTTTCGGGGGGTTTAAGTTATACAATGATATGACAGCGTTTTGTGCATGTCTCCTGACATCTTGGCTTTTAACGTCATTGGACCAATCGAGTAGCCTCGCCAGAGCTGACCCTGCGGAGTTGTTAAGCGCAGACGGTTCCGCCGATTCTGCGATTTGCGTAATGAATGTAAGCGTGGCTACCTTTACACGAGAATTCGGCGTTTGTGTCGGGTCCGTCAAATACCTCATCACTGCGGGCAGGAGTTGTTCTCCTGGGAAACATTCTCTACAAAAGTAAAGGGATTCGAACGGTTATCGAATACAGCTCGAACGTTAGCTCTGAAATTCGTTCTCTTTGTCTCACCTGACAACATCGAGTGTCTTATGGATTTTTGCTTGTATGGAACCAAGTAAATCGGTACCTAATTTGTTCATCAGTCTCGCGCACAACACGTACAGCCAATCGCCGAGATCTTCGTTATGGGTAACTACCAGTTCGTTCAGCGTGTCCAAAAATAAACTGAACACTTTTGTATGAGAGTCCATAAACATTTTGGTAAAGATGTCCGTCACTTTGCGTAACTCGGTCGCCGTGAGTGTGTTTCCGTTCGATAGAAAATGCTGCAATCCCACTAAACCTTCTTTCCTATCTCCCCAATGTTTATGCGCACAATTTTCAATAATTTCCTTAATGTCCTGGAAAGTAACGGTTTTGTTTACACAAGAATGTGCATCGAAGAGTAATCGCGGCAACGAATGTGAAGTCTTATTCGAAACGTGGATAGCAGAGACTTTTCTTTCGTATGTATTCGGCAGAAGAGTATAGTATGTAAGGTATCGAAGGTATTCGCATCGAGTAAATGTGAATGAATATTAAATTTAACAAACCTTTGGGATAGACTGATCCCACATATCACGATACAGTCTTTGTTGAGAGCCACTCCATGAGAACGACTAATGGGTAGATGGACGATGGACAGATATGGAGAACAGAACGGCGCATCGCGTTAGTCCAAACCAAACAAATACGCCGCAACAAAACCAAAAGAAAAAACCAGACATGCGTTATCTACACTGTCGTAAGATGTTGAAAGCGCTGCTTTCTTAAGCTTCTCGCCTGGAATCTACCCAGCTAGGGTAAAAATCAGCGAAACGATATACAGTGGGTTCACAAAATATTTGTACGCTCAATTTTGTTAAGTTATCTGTCTATAAAGGAATGGTGTATGTTTTAGAGCTTCGGTAAACACATAAACAGTATAATTCACGTATTTATAGTACTAAATAAATATTGTAATTATAGTTTTTTAATGAATGGTTAAACACTCATTTCGAACATTCAACAGAAAGTAATTGTCTTCACTAGAAATAGACTTATACATATAATATACTTTCCACGTATGAAGTAAATATTAGACGATTAGAAGAAATATTAGTAAAGTGAAATTTAAAGATAATTCTTGTATATTTAGTCACCTACACATATGTCATTTTATTTTATTATTATTTATTATTTTTATTTGAACATTATATTAATATGTATAATGTTGTTATTATTTTATTTATTACTTTAGGGATAAAAATTAAACCCAAGTGTAAAGTGTAAAGTTATTAGGGTGAATAAAAAGTTCTTTCATTTT